TGTGTCCATTTGCTTGGAATACCTTTCTCCAACCCTGTACTCTGCGGTCATGTTTATCTTTGATGTTGAGATGTGTTTCTTGTATGCAGTAGAAGTTTGCATCCTGTTTTTCACATCCATTTTGTTAGTGTATATCTTTTTTATTAGGGAATTGAGTCCATTGATATTGAGATATATTAATGACCAATGATTGTTAATTCCCGTTATTTTGGTGGTAGTGGTGGTGGTGGTGGTGATTGTGGTGGTTTCTGTGTGTGTATGTGTGTGTGTGTGTGTGTGTGTGTGTGTGTGTCCCTTCTTTAGGTATTGTTGGTGTGAGATTTATTGCCTATTTTCATGGGTGTAAGTTAACCTCCTTGGGTTAGAGATTTCTTTGTATATGTTTGTTTTTTGGTTTTTCTAGTACTTTTCAAGGGGCTGGATTTGTGGATACATATTATTTAAATTTGACTTTGTTATAGAATGTCTTTTTTTCTTCATCTTTGGTGATTAAACATGTTATTGGTTATATTAGTCTGGGCTGACATCTGTGGTCTCTTAGAGTCTACAAGATATCTGTCCAGGCCTGTCTTTCTTTTAGAGTCTCCATTGAGAAGTTGGGTATAATTCTAATAGTCTGCCTTAACATGTTACTTGGCATTTACTTTGCAGCTTTTATATTTTTCTTTGTTTTATATGTTTAGTGTTTTGATTATTATGTGATGGTCCAGTCTTTCCTGTTCCAATCTATTTAAGGTTCTGTCAACTTCTTATACCTTTATAGGCATGTCTTTCTCTAGGTTAGGAAATTTTTCTTCTATGAATTTATTAAATAAATAAATAAATATATATATATATATATTTTTTTTTTTTTTTTTGAACTGAGATTCTTTTCCTTCTTCTGTTCTTACTGTTCTTAGGTTTGGCTTTTCCATAGTATCCCAGATTTCCTTGATGTTTTGTGTCAGTATTTTGTGTGTGTGTAAGTAATTTTTTAGATTTAACCTTTTCTTTGACTGATGTATCTACTTATTCTAACATTTTTAATACCCAAGATTCTTTCTTCTCTCTCTTGTGTTCTCTTGGTGATTCTAGTGTCTGTTGTTCCTGTTTGCTTACCTTGATTTTCCTTTTCTAGGATTTCCTCAGTTTATGTTGCCTTCACTTGTTTTTTTCTTTTTCTTTTTTTTTTTTTTTTTGGCATTTTTAAAGAGATTTATTGATTTCCTCCATTTTTTGTTTGTCTATTTCTTTTCTTTTCTTTCTTTCTTTCCTTCCTTCCTTCTTTCCTTCCTTCTTTCTTCCTTTTCTTTCCTTTCCTTTCCTTTCCTTTCCTTTCCTTTCCTTTCCTTTCCT